GTGTCTTCCACCCCTTATACCTTTTTGTGTATGCTTGACACACCTCCACATCTTGTAACAGTTGTACATTTAACTTCCACACTCCCTTTCCTCTTTTGGGGCTCTTACTAAGACTCATTTCCACCTTCAGCATCCGGTGATCACCAAATGCCTTGCTTACGGTTTCATTTTTTTCTTACCTCTGTTTCTTTGGATACAAACACAAAGTCAGTTCTTGCGTCTTTCTTTCCGCTGGTGTCTGCTTTCATGAAGGTTTTCTCCCCTGCCCACACATCTATTAGTGATTCTTCTTTTACTATTTGTGTTAACAATCTGTACAAACTGACTCATGTTCTGTCTTCTCCTTCTCCTGTTCTGCCAGCCCCTTCTATTAAACGGTTGAAATCGCCTGCTATTATTCACCGTCTTCCTCCAACCACTTATCCCACTAGTTTTCTCAGCAGAGTCTTCCTCCTCCCCCTCTCTGGTGGTGGATCTACATTTAAAAATTGTAATTCTGTTCCCCCGACTAACAGTGACATTTATTGTAGTCTGGCACTGAAGATAACTTCCACCTGCTTCGCTCTCAACTATGGATTTTTGAACAGTATTGCTACACCTGCTGCTTTATCATTTGTCCCTGACCACCAAGATGGTCCCCATCTCCACCTTTCTCATAGCATTTATATTCCCTCTGCATTGGTATACTGCACTCTCGTAGGTAGATTATGTCTGCCCTTACCCGTTTTAACACTGATTCAGTCTTTTCCCATTTTTCCTCACTAAGACATTCCTGACATTAATTGATACTATTATCAGTGTTATTGTGCTTGCTTTAACTGAGTGCATCTGTCCCTTTAAGGTTTGTCAGTTCTGCTGCTCACCGTAGTGGACTTCACTCAATCCCTCACTCACATCAGTTGCTTTTGCAAGCTGCTTGATTGCTTTTGCACTCAGGTTCTGTGGATTTGTCAGCTCGGAACTGTGCATGATTTGACCTTGTGAATTATTGCACCTATGGCAGATTTAAAATGCTCAGCCAAGATTTTGGCCATTAGTTTGTAGTCAGAGTTGAGGATCATTATGTCTCTCCAAGTTTTTTAATCTCGCCTCTTCCCCTTCTTGTAGAGGAGGGTTATGAGCCCCCATTTCATTCCTGCACCCAGGTGGCCCTCCTGCATCCTCTCCCCATATACCTCTAGCACGTCCAAACTCATCTGGTTCCATAAGGTCACAGAGAACTCCTTGGGCAGGCCATCTACTCCAGGAGTCTTGCCATTCTTGAAGCTGTGGGGAGTTTTGTTGGTCTCCTCCAGCATCTTTTCCTCCACCAGTTTCTGATTCATCGTTCCTGAGGACCTGGGTGTGTTCATGCAGGCATTCTTTTATGGCCCCTGAACATTCGATATAGACTGGTATAGAGCTCCCTTTAGAAGGCCAGAACCCTACTGCAGCTGCAAGACACATTACAGTGCCAATAGGAGAGAGGGCAGAACACCACTGTGCTGAACCTCAACCTAGACAAGGCCTGTGACCGAGTGTCCCACCAGTTCCTGTTCAAGACACTGAAGAGAATGGGGGTAATCCAGCCATTGTCACCTGGATAATGGCACTGTATACTGATATGAGAAGTGAGGTATTGGGAACAGGTTCCTGGCCAGCCCCTGGCAGAGTTGGGCATCCAGCAGGGTTGCCCACTCTGCTAATTCTTTTCATCTGTGTGGTGGAACTGCTAGCCCAGCCACTCAGGCAGGACCCCAGGATCAGCTAAGTCCCAGTCCCTGGGAGCAGCTGGGAAGAGAGGAGGGTCCTGGCCCACATGGATGACCTCAACATCCTATGTAGGGACAAGCAGTCGATTGAAAGAGTGTTACAACACCCAAATATACAGAGTGGTGGCAGGGGTCAAGTTCAGCATGTGCAAAGCACCTGCCTGGTACTGAGTGAACTTGGGACCTGTCAGCCCTGAGGGTCTCCATGTCCAGTAAGGGTGTGAAGACCCTTGGGGTGAAGTGTGACCCAGAGCTGACTGTACAGAAAGCACAGGAAGAGACTGAGGCCAAAGTCAAACAAAGGCTGGGTCTTTGGCGCACATGACACCTGTCAGTGTACCTCCGGATTTATTTTCCCTGCTGTAGCAGTGGGAGGCTGACAAGTTCAAGCCTCCAGTAATTAGATTCTGTACCTAGAAAAGTATATCAAATTTATAAATTTCCATATATAGAATCTAATTATTGAGGAGTCATCTTATACTTGAGTGAATATGGTATATATGTATCACTACTTGTCACATGTTATACTTTTTTTTGTTGTTGTTTTAGTACACGTTGCAGACATGTTCCGGGGGGGGGGAAGGATGTGTTTAGTGTGTGTGCATATCCTTTCACAAAAGTGGGTATACATGCTTGAAGTCCTATCACTATTTAGCATTACCATGGTAAGGGGATACAGTGATTGGAAAAATATGACACCTGGCTATGAACTGTGTGAAAAAGATTTAAGTTGTAAAAGTGAAGGATTACAATTTTATACTACAAAGTTGGTACTCTAAAGACAGTGGCTAGCACTGATGCTCATGAAAGATTCTCCACTTGTGTATGTGTATTTATACCTAAAGAGAAAGAGATGAATGTATTGAAAGTGTCTTGTCATGTGTGAGAGGTACCCTGTTATCTGCCAACTACATAACATCTATGTAAATGCTGTCATCCAGCGTATATTCTGTGTCTCAGAAATTATTACTTGCTTCCAAAATTATCCTGCCTTCAAGGCTGTGCATGAAAGGGAAAATCTGCTACTGAACATTTTTCCCTTCCATTTCTTTTTTAGAGATGAGAAGAACATGGGTAAAGATGTGAATGATGCATTAGTAGATGTGTTCAGCATGGAGGCTGGAGCTGACAAACTGGAAGCAATGAAAACCCTGGCTATGTTACGAGAAGAAAAACGATATTTACAGGATTTGTGGACCTGAATATCTGGCCTCTCTTCTCCTTTTGAAAGTAGAGTGTTAGACCCTTACATACTGTACGAGGACTACCTGATTCTCTGGATTACTGTTATATCAACTTCACTTATGCATTTCTTTTATTAAAAAGCAGACAGTTAACTAAAATATCTTACATTTTACCATTTGGTAACCATTTTAACTTCCATAATTCATACTAACTTTTCAGAATTTAAGAAGTTTTACACATTTTAAAAAAATGGAATCTGTGAATTTGTAGCAACATTTCAAAATGGATTCCTTTAGAGAGCTCTGTTCCTCTAATGTAATGATGGTGGTCTTAACTTTTTTTACCTTTGTACAGCATACAGTAGTATATCGTATGGTATCAGTGGGTACAGGAGATACAGTAAATGGAAAGTTACTCACTAATTGTAATTTATCTTACTGCTATACATTAATTGAACATGTCATATAAAGGTCTTATGAAGGAATTGTTCCACATGTTTCATGTCAGTCCTTCAAAATAGGAATTGCAAACAGAAGTTGATATTTGAAACCAGAGGTGTAGCCAGGCAGTTCTTTTCTCAGGACAGCAACAGCTGCCTCGATGCAATCAGCCACTGCTAGGGTCATGGCTATTTTGCCTTCCCCACGTCCTGCCTCTACAAAGACAACACCTGGGGCTGTCCCAAGCTCTTTAGCTATCCTAATATTTTAAACATTGGCCAAGCATTGTGAGTACAATAACTCCATCCCTGAGTATTCTGCTGAATATTGATTTTGGAGGATGAGGTGAGGCGTTATACTCCCTAGGTGCCCTTCGGATCCTTTTCAGTAGGTTGTTTTTTTTTCATTTTACTCTCCCAAAGCTGCTTTACCCCTTCTTTGTGACTCATCTGCTGGTTTAATTTCAGGATTTTCTTTGAGCAAATGTCCTTGATGTGCCAAATTTTTGGGGAGACAAATACTGATGCTTAACTAGGGAATACCAAACTGATTTTTACTGACAGCTTAAATAATATTTGAAGCCATTTTACAAACTTAAAGCCATTGATTCCTCATACAACAATGCAGATCACTGCTACCAAATTCAACCTTATGACAATAAGTTGCTAAAATACCCATCCACTGCCTAATAGACACACACGGCTCTTTCCTTCTTCAATCCAATCATAACTGCTATCACCTTTCTTCAGATTGTCATTTCTTTTTGGCATACACTATTCTAACTCCTGATCCCCATGTTTCCATCTCCTCTGTTTGGTTCCTCTCCAAGCCTAGACTGCTGAAGAAAAGGAGAAAAGAGAAGAAATATTTTTTTTTTTTTTTAGCAGTGGTTAACCTAAACATCTGTTCTTAAGGTATTTTTCTC